AACAACCCAGTATAGCCGTCCCAACTCGAAGTCCACATCGCTATCCACCACACCATCCGTCGCTGTTGTCTGCTTCATCGTGGAGAGCATATATCAAACTTACCCGCACTTTTCAACATGTCAGCCCTTTTTTGGGTACCGTTCTCGTTATTTTCAACGCACAGTCCACTGGCGCCTTCTACTGTGCGGACAGTCGACGTCATGAATGAAACAAACGAGGCTTAGTGGTTGAAACGGCAATTTGTGACAAAATCATTTTCACCCCTTTTTTTGGCATTCAGAAGGCCATTTAGCGGAAATTTACCATAGTTCTGTACTCTGTGCTCATGCCCCTATACCACGCAAAAAAACCATTCTCGAAAAGCGTCCCATGCTCTGAAAGACCTTCCTTGTTAGGATTTGAAGGGAATGCTATACCGAGAGCTGCTCCCTCAAGGCCAGACAGGCACGACTACCGCCTACAGTAGCTAACTGAGGAGCTTAATGCGGTTGGAGAAAAGCGGTGTGGATGTGTTTCTGTCCATCTTCTGCATGATGGCACTCGGCTTCACGTTCGTCGAAAAGAGGCCAGGATATAGGAACTAATTAACTTTACATACCCTCACCTCGCCCCTTCTAGCTGTCTTGTTTTTGGATACCTTGAGCAGTTCTTGCTACGAATAAGAAGTTCGCTTTCCCGGTCACCTCCGAGATGCCTTCTCTGGCTTCTTTGACTCACTTTCTTTCTCATTCTTGGAGAAGAGAATAGTCGAACAGCCTGTTCGTTGAATTAATGCCACAAATAATGTTATGTATCTAGCCTTATAAAATTTGAAAAAAAGTTAAAAGTGCCGCAGAATTTCTTGGTACTTTCTCATAAGTCTAAACAATAGATCTTCAGTTCAGGAAAGTTCAAGCAAATTCCATCACTCTTTTACTCGGTTTTGAAATGCTTTTTTCTTACTTTAATAGAAACGCTCGCCTGCCTACTTCCCTTTCTTTTTCATATGCTGTGGCACATCAGATTGTTTTCTCTCCAAGATTTTGCTTTAAATTCAACTTGTTGCGATGGTATCAAGTTCCGTTTACTTTTTTCATGAGTTCAGAGGAACTGTTAGCCAATCAAGGAACACACATTTTAGTGCTTATTTATTATTTATTATGATTGTTGTTATTATTTACTGGTTACCATTCATATTTTTACTTATTTATTATTATTATTTACTATTTTATGGTACATTTTCAGTTCTTTCAAAACGCTATCAGCACCCGTACTGTCGCTTATTCATCAGAGATATGGAAAGAAGTGGACTTCGAAAAAAGTAAACATTCAAAATCACCACATTATTCCTTTAACCGTGATCTGATATGTACGTATGCATACACGTACACCTTTCACATATTTCAAATTCTNAGAAGTGGACTTCGAAAAAAGTAAACATTCAAAATCACCACATTATTTCTTTAACCGTGATCTGATATGTATGTATGCATGCACGTACACCTTTCACATATTTCAAATTCTAAGCTCGGTCATCGTCCTACATCTCTAGCGACTGCGATCTGCGATCTTCCACATCAGGCTGTACCCTCACCATTAACCAAGCCCTATGCGGTCGGTTGAGACATTTGCTTAATCAGTTTTCTAAGAATGTCATTAAGTTTTTCCATTTAGGTAGTAGTTCTAGCACTTGCGATCGCTACAGAATCTAGCGATTTGACATTGTTTGCATCCGCTATTCGTGTTCTTCAATCTCTTGCAAGGTAACCTAGTCACTGTCGTTATTCAGTTGTCCTGTTGTAGAAAAATCTCAAGAAACAATTATTAGCCAATATTACGTGTCACGGGCGCACCCTTATACATAGCTACCCCCACAGCGTGAGGGTCTCTATCATCTGATTTGCTGCCCCATTCGTCATCTTTATTCATTTTCTCCCATTGTGTGGGCTATGGAATCGAATTAGGATATCTTGCTCATGGCGTTCCCCACTGCAGTGCATGTCCTGCTGCCGGTAGGGTAAATGTGAGCAGAAGTGTTTTCCATGGTGTGAATCATGCGGAAAGAAAACCTCATTTCATCACTGCCCGTTTTCGTCCAGATACAGAAGAGCAGTGTCTAATGGCATCGAATTGAGTGCTCGATATCTTTAACAACTTCTCTCCGTTTCGCAGATGATATTGGCGGTGATGATGCATAATTTGGTAGTATAGGAAATTTTAACGTCTTTAAAAACAGTTATGCCTACAAATGGAATTGTAAACCTGGAACCACATCTTTCCCAAATTAATATTCTAGGCACTGAAAGATTACGAGGTTCCTCTACGAGATAAGCTGGAGCGGTCCTCGCCGCTATTAACAGAACGCTAAAGTTATCAATATCTTCCATCCCCACAACAGTTGAGGAAATGTGAGGCATGACAGTTAGTAATGGGAGTAAAGCATCATAGTAGTTTCCGTTCGTCTCGATTTCGAAAAGTCCACAACTGGCTTGTTCGAAAATATTAGGTTGACAGGAAAGTTCCGCGACAAAGAATTCGAAGTGTCAAAAGTTTTGTATAGGCAATGTGGACGCAATAGGAAGAGCGAAAAACTTCTAGGACATTACTCGGGCAAACAACACATGAGTAAGCAACCATCAATGATTGAAAAACACAATACTCGTACCACCACCTTCTGCTAGGCGCGTCGTCGAGGGGAAAACGCACATCCACATGAGGAGCTCATCGCGGGCTAGATAGCCAGCATTCGGTCAAGGGTAATATTGAAAGAAGTTCAAAACAATAACTAAGGTATCTACACAACGGCAACGCACATCGAACTTTCGCTTTAGACACCCATCGAAAATTCACTTGCCTCCAGCATTCGTGGTCCTGAAACGTTGCCTTTTTTCATCGCAATGTGCTCTGCCTTCTCAAGCACCGTTTTGTAGGAAAAAAGTTCTCTAATATTATGTTTTGTAGGAAAAAAGTTCTTTAATATTATCTGAAAAAGGCAATCATTGATCTCTTTGAGACACAGCTTTCTGACTTCTGGACAGAAGGCTTCAGTGAAATGAGTTGATTTGGGAACGAATAGCCTGCAGAATTTAATGCAATTTTTTTCGCATTTGTTTTTTTTTTCTCTCACAGCAACTAACAATTAACAAACTTATGCACCGTCATTGTCGAAAAAGTATTGCCATCTATCAGGTAATTTGTGGCTTCCATTCGCATGGAATTCGTGAGGTTTCGAGGAGAAAAACTTGCCAATGCACATATCATTTGGTTAACATCATCGAACTTTTTATTTTTCTAAGTGACTCGATAACGACAGGAGCAGGCGGCAATATGTTTAAGCCAAATCTGGTGAATGATGGGTGGGTCATAATATGGCATTCCAAGCCTTCAAGTATCTTTTGGATCTTCGCAATGTGTGGGCGAACACTGTCGTGGAGAAACCAGACTTTTTTACTCTTTCTCTCATAGAGCTACAGCGACGCGGTCCATCAGAGTACAGTAGGCTTCGGCGCTGACAGGGAGTTAGGTGGCAGCAAGTCTCACTGAACGATATCTTCGAATGTCTCCAAATGCTAAGCATTGGAGTTAGGTTGTTAGGTTGGAGTTTGGTTTGGGCATCGAGAATTTATGCTATACACTTTCAAGCCCCTGGCGCTTCCTCGTGTGGTTTACATGAAAAAATCACTTCTCTTCTCCGGCGATTAAGTTTTCCAGCCATGCGAAAGTGGGCAGGAAAGTCAACATTTTCAGACATGCATCTTTCCTTATTTGGAGATTTTGACCACTCAGCTCATTATTTCTCCATGTTATTTATTTCCAAGTCTTCCCGAGGCGATGCAAAAGGGCAGCTACTGTGTCGCGATGGCTAATGCGCTTCTGTTCCAGTTCGCAGGTGCAACGCCTGAAATTCTCTCCGACCAGCTTTCAAAATAAATATGGTATTCACTTGGTTTGGGACACTGACTGGCTCTTTCACGAGCCAAACTATCTATGAAAGTCGACTTCAAGCAAATTCCAAGGTATAAGGCGCTTTTGTCCGACAGCTGTTCTAATGGTTGCTATATTACGTAGGCTGCCTTTTATATTTCGAGATTTGGGAACAGAAACAAATATCATTTATTGAAAATCCCTTTATTGCCTTTCAAAATACTCCACATTGAGATCTATACACTTTTGCACGGATTCAAACCAATTTTCGAAGCACCTTTGCCACTCTAATGTAGGTAACTCTGAACATGGATTCTGAACGCACCAATGGATTCTTCAAGTGCCGAACAACGTTGACCTCTCATTTTATTTTTTACGTACGATATGGGAAGAAGTCACCCGGGGACTACAT